ATAACTGTTAATTTATAACAATGCAGTGCTGGATTTTTTTTCTATGCTCTAATAAACGTTATAGGGAGATTGTTCAAAGATGGATAAAAACTGGTAAATATGCTCTTTTATGCTTGCATTCTTCTTAAGGCCCATTAGCTGTTTTAAATTTTCCATCACATCTTCCAAATGGACACCTTACACTTTTCCTGTGGCCCTTTTGTTTGAAATTGTGTAGTAAACCATCTGGAAAATACTGCTAAATTGGACGATTTTGTTTTGAAAATTCTACAACAATCATTGAAGACCTTTGGAGAAATATTGAGCAAAATGTTCAAACATTTTTCATAGTGCATGATTCCAGTTTCCTAAAAAATATTATTGATTTAACACAATTCAGTAGGCTATATACTGAGTTTGCATAAATTCAGTATTGCTAGTATCTATCTGATACCAATACCTGCGTTGGTATCGATACTGTCGATATTTAGATGCATCCAACAAGCTCTAGCAGACATCTCTAATAGATGTTCGAGATATATCGGGGGAAGGGGTTGAGGTAGTGCTTGATTCCGATTTTATCCTTTAGCTTCTTGGTTGAATTTGTGTTTGAAAAAAAAAAAAATGTTTCATTTTACTTCACAGAGACATTGCCAGCGCCATAAAAGAGCTCCTGGACACAGTCAACAATGTCATTAAAAAATATCAGTACCAGAATCGCAGAGTGAGTAATGAATACGCTACAATTACTACTACTTGAATTATTTCACATTTTCCCCTCATTTCAAATGGATGTTTTTGCTTTATTTTCTGCTCGGCAAGGCCCTGGAACACCAGAAAAAGGAGTTTGTGAAATACTCCAAAAGTTTCAGTGACACCCTCAAAACATACTTCAAAGATGGAAAGTAAGTATGGCACCACGTGTTATGCCTCAGCTAATCAGTACCCTGTTTTTAAAGACAGATTCTATTGAATCTTGAATTGCATTAAAACATAAAAAAGAGTTGGTAAGCTCTGTGTGCCTGTCATATAATGTGTGTCTCTGTTAAACATGTGCAAATGTATTTTCTAAAACTGCCTGGTCGTTGTTGCATATAGTGTGCATAAAGATATTTCACAGTAAAAGTTAAGAAAGCAGTGGTTTCTAAAAACAGAGGAAACGGGTCCAGAAATTGTTGAATAATAAAGCATAATTTAAGATTTGTCAACGAAGAAGATTTGATGATCAACTGTATCAGTGGCTGAGCTAAGATCCAGCAAAGCAAGACATCAACAGTCACCCGTATCTACAGCTATCAGAATTTGAGACTTTAAGGAGTTGTTTCTGTGGACTGTAACATCCTGAAACCAAAGTTATCTGGAATATCGGGCTTCTCTAACACCTTGTCTCAGCAAACTTTTCAAATATTTTAGCAATGAAAGGAAGTTTTAAAGAGGTCTATAACTTGTGTGTAGTGCTGTTTGGATAACCCCCTGTTTAAAGCACTTGGGGGGGGGGGGACAGTCTTGCATCAAAGAGCAATTTATGAGTGTGACCACAGAAACCCCATCAGAGTCAAAAACTTGGGGTTTTATGGTTGTGGGTAAGTTGAGGATTTTATTTCAGATATAGCCACTATAGAAATTGGGTGAAAAGATTCCATATTTTGGGATGTGGGAGATTGCGATTGAAGCGACAAAATGTTAACGTTACTGCAGTCCTTATTTGAGAAAACTGGTGTTCGTGGTTTTGTAGGAGGAACTAGCTCATAGTTGGTTATCATCAGATTGATAATAACTAATGCAAAGTGTTCCAAGGTATGACTTTTGTCCGTGTGCAAACAAAGTGTCATCCTGTTTTGTGTCAACCGTGGATAAAGTTGTTAGAGAGGGTCACAGGAGCATCTGTGCTTGCACGACTTCTACTCTTGTTTCGATTTGAATATCCTTAACCAATTAGATAAAGGAAGGCAGCGTTTCCACTCTTGTTCTAAAGTTATTGCTCACTCTGTTGTACTGTGTATGATGTTCTCCAGTGAGTTTTCACAAGCTATCATTTTTCTTTGTTCCCAGGGCAATAAATGTCTTCATCAGCGCAAACCGGCTCATCCACCAAACCAACCTCATACTGCAGACCTTCAAAACCGTGGCCTAGCCCCACACCTCACCCCGACCCCACCCAAGAGACCACAGAGCCCCCTTCTCATTGTCCCTTGGGGAACAACTGCTAAAATGGCAGAGGCTTGAAGAGCACCTCACCCATATATGTAAATTAGAGTTGATTTTTTTTAGGGTTGGGGTCGATGTCATTGGAGTCGAGATTCTAGATTCCAGTTCAAGAGACTGAAAAGTGCCATTTGTTTTTTTTCAATGACGATTTTCCAGTCTTGAAGTGGAACTGAACAGGGGCCCAAAGTCTTGGTTAATTGATTTTATTTGGACAGTTTTAATTTATAACCCAAAACTTGTTTGGGAGGTGGTGAGGCGAGGTGTTCATTAAAGACTAATTGCCATTTTTCTAATATATTCATGTTGATCATTTTACTTTTAGCTTTTCAGTCATGGCTACACATCTGAGACTACATCCAGTAGGGATTGTTCTCAGTAGTCTATACCAGTTTTCTCTTCTCGCCTCCTATTTGTGTCATTTTTGCCACGGGCTGTATGGATTGACAGAAGCACCTGGCTGCAGGTCAAACAGTTGCGAGGAGAGGAAGCAGAGTTGGACATTTGAGAGGCAGATTTCGTTTCTCTTTATTATCAGAAGAAAGAAAGCCAAAAGACTTCCAGCACAGTGTGCGCCTTACCAAGTCCTGTAACATTCCCTCCTCTCAAGAGTGTAATGAAGTGGAGCCAGTCCCTGCTGTTGAGGGATGTAGAGAGAAAAGAGTTCTGTATTTAACTGGTTGCAAATGTTCAATAAATAGTTTCCAAATGATGATGCTTTTTTATCTGTGTCCGTGTCCAGTGTGTGTGGGGTCAACTTTTCTGTGTGAGTGGGAGAGGATTTGCTTTGCAGTGGCATGGCCTGAAAAATAGACGTGTGGTCACATTGTATAATTCAAAAAAGGATTTTACCATTTCAGAACAATGATACTTTGATAACGCTGCCAAATGGTCAGTTTGAAAATGGTTGCAGCTTTCTGTGGCTCTTTGTTTTCTTTTTCCCCCACTTGTCAAAACAGGTTTGCAGACATTTCTTTAACTCATTCACTGCCAGCCATTTTCAAATCCCCACTGCTCATTCACTGCCATTGACGTCTATAGACGTCAATGGCAGTGAATGAGTTAAGTAGCCTTGAGCCGTTGCTGGAAGAAGATACGAGGGATCGGATTTCTATTAATCTCCTTACTTTCTCAAAAACATTGAACCTATCAGATCAGGGGTGGGGAACTCCAGGCCTCAAGGGCCGGTGTCCTGCAGGTTTTAGATCTCACCCTGGGTCAACACACCTGAATCACATGATCAGTTCGTTACCAGGCCTCTGGAGAACTACAAGACATGTTGAGGAGGTCATTTAGCCATTTGAATCAGCTGTGTTGGATCAAGGACACATCTAAAACCTGCAGGACACCGGCTCTCAAGGCCTGGAGCTAATACTAGAACATCTTTTTTAAATGTTGGTGAGTAGAAATATAAAAAGACATGAAATGTGAATACAGGTAAATTATTTTTTTTTTTTTATGTCATCCACCCACAACTGTTAAAAAAAGCTGTTAAACCCCTCAAAAACCAAACCTCCACATACATTTTTTAAACTGTCCTCTGAATACAAAGAAAATGGCATGCTATGCCACACCGATGGCTTTCGAAAAGAATGAATCGCAATTATCTTTTGTCTTTGTTATACACACTTAAACATTAAATATTACTGGTGGAAAACAAAAGTAATCATTTAGCTTAAATACCTCCAAACCTCAAATAATCATTTGCAGTAGTTACAGAGGAGACTTGTACAACCAGAGGAATACATTCATTCATCCAACCATTCATTCATTTATCAATTCATCCATTCTTCCCTTATGCTAGAAAATTAACCTTTTACAATGCACCTGATTTGCTCACAAAGACAAAGAGAAAAAAGAAAAACAAAGATTTTATTTTGCTGGTTACAGCAAAATGAATGATCACAGTTTGTTTGATTAAAAAAAAAAATAGATATATAAATCATTTTTAAAAATACGCAATAGCAGCAACTCATTGCATTTAGGCACATGGACATGGGTCGTGTCCAAATTCATGGGCTGCATCCTCCTGAGGACCCGGCCTTCGCGGTCTACGTGGGCCGGGTCCTCAGAAGGTCGGGTAGGCCGGAAGTAAACGGCCGTGAAATTGGACGGTCTAGCCTTCTGATTAGCGTCACCGCTGTCCCGGTGGAGTTTAATAAACTCAGCCGTCTGCTCCTTGCTATCTAAAATATAACGGGACACTGGCGTAAATTCTCGACTGTCTCATACTTCTGTTTAATCAGTTTTCTGTTTGACGTTTAGTCAGCTGTGTAAAAACCAAGGAGGAACCCACCCGGGGATTAATTTTATCTAATCTAATCTAATCTAATAACTTTAATCTCAGCCAAACCGATTTACTCACGAACAAACAAAACACTGAAAAAAGCCCAACAATAACATTTTTAGGTTGTCTAAGTGACATATATTACGTTTAACCCGAGCAGCGAAAGTCCGCGATGATCTGAAAATAATGTGCCGGGAGTTGTGCCGTTCTCAGCCGCATCAGTAACCCTCGAGCTCCCGGCTAGCTATCGAGCTGGTGGGTAGCAGACGCCTCCGAAAACGTCGAAGCACTTTTGCAAATATGCGATATCTTGATAAACCAAGCAGATATTTGATGTTTACACAACTACTTTCTCGCCTGAAAATATGTTAAAAGGTTATTTTGTGACCCAGAAAGATTAGTATGAGTAATTTTAAAACTTAGTAGCGGCCGCCATTTTTGGAAACTGGAGTTTGGCTGGGCCGCGCTATGAATTCTGGGATATGGTAGGCCACGAAGGACACACCCGACCCATCCTTCAAATTCGGGGAAAAGGAGGACGTATTTGTCGGCTACATTCGGAGGAGTCTACGAATTTGGACAGCCTTCGGCGCATCGCTGTCTACAAATGCGGCCTCAGGAGGATGCAGCCCATGAATTTGGACACGACCATGGTCAAGACAACTCCCTGAAGTCAAAACAGTATTTGAATGGTGAACAAAGGTGTTTTTAGTGAACGTGTCATGGTTGTTGGTGCCAATCTGGCTGTTCTGAGTATTTCACAAAATGCTTATTTACTTTTCTCACACAACCGTCTCTAGTTATTGAATGTAAATTATGTAATGAATGTAAAGGCTGGAATGCGAGTACGGGTCTAAGATATCATTTTCAAACTGTGATGGTTCATACCAATAACAGCATGAGCCTTTCATTTTGGGGAAAACTGGGTCAAGGTCACAACAAATGATAAAATATATAAGAATTTTATATTACCAACATTATCCTTAGACCTTAGGAGGAAGGGCCTCGTCTTTCAAGACCTTGTATTTACATGTTGACTTTACTCTCAAAATAGTATTTAAACTTTATTCCCTAAGATCTTTTTATCTAACACATTACAGAGACACTTGGCGTTATTGTCTTGCCAAAGAATACTTGGCATATTGTGGTGACTCGATAGGGATCAAACCACCAACCTTACAATTAATAGGTGACCTGCTCTACCTCCTGAGCTACAGCCACCCCAGATAAAAATGCTTTCCCCATCTCTGATTCTTCCAACCTGACAACTGGGCAAATTCTATGGGACGTTATATTGTGGATTTAGTAAATGTTTCTACTCTTTTCAGGTGGCATAGGTAGGACAGTTAAAATATTTGCAGTTCTTCAAGTCAACAGTTTTATATTAAGGACTATTTAAATGGTCACACTCATATCACACAATGTGTTCTTCAAAACGCTTGTAGTTATTCAAGGTAGGCAATTAAGCCATATTCAGGTAAGTGTAGGGATTTTACTGGCACTTGGTGCAAAATAAGCAAACTATTCAGAAAACAATGACACAATGAATTCACAAATGCCCCTGATTCAAAGATGCTCATTCACGATCTGATTCACTGTGTTTAACAAGTGTCCATCGTAGTGCCTGTACATCTTATCCATTAGTTCTATGTCAAGTTCAACATCCCCACCCTCTTCAACACCTTGTCCACGTTGGGAATGAGTTTTTCCTGAAAGTCCCACAGTCGTTTATCCACATTAAGTTGCTCCAGGGTTAATGATCCCTGTAGAGCCACACGGACATGAATGATCCGACAAACATCTAGTGGAACCTTGTAGCGTTCTCCAAAATTCTTGATCACTTCATGGACTGAAGTCCCCTCCACCATTCTGTGACACAAAACACAAGACAGTTAACTGCTAGGAGTTAAGGGTACACCGATTACTGAAGATCCTGCTCTTTAGGAGTGCCCTGAAGGTTCTTTGAAAGTTTCACAAATCAGTCTTGGGGGACCCTTAGTGAATGTTCCCTGGGTTTTCTGGCAATACCTTAAGGGATGATCTCTGAAAAATTGGCAAAAATAACCCTCAGGTTGTTTGGACATTCTCTAAACTGTGACCTTTAGGAAACCCGTAGGGAGCCTTCCCTCAAGGTTTCTGTTTCCTGGGTTCATGTTTACATTTTGTGTTAGTTCTGTATGAGCAATATGACACATTTCAAATCTGAAAGTTTAAGTGTTAATCAAATTAGATAGGAACAAAATAAGAACTTTTGTTAAATGTGTTTTGTACCTGGGACTTAAGGTTTATTGTACTTGGAGCAAACTGTCATTCCAACCAGTTTTGATGTTTCTCATATCTCATATCATGGTTTATCAAGTTCAATAACTAAGGTACTTATTTTTTTTTTAACTTGCAGTCAAATGTATAATTAAGTAAACCAAAGAACTGTATCCTAAATAGAGTAAATCTTCCGTCTGACAAATTCAGCTTACCCTGGCCGAACTATCATCTTGTGTGGATGGTATATGTTTCTGGCGGGGTCCTCCCTGTAGATGTGCTCCAGAATATTAATTCCTGGCACCCCGTTCCACTGAGGCAGGTGAAACCGTCCGCTTGGCTCAAAGTGTTTCTTTGGGAAAATATGATTCTCAATAAGGAATACCCCTGCCTTCAAATTAGATAAAAACAAGTCAAATACAACTTCTTATTGTATGGGATACTGAATTTTTGATGAACTGTATTTTCAAATTTATTACAAGAACAGCCTACATTTGGATGCTGATTTCGGAGCGTGTTCATCAAAGACATCAGGTCATCGTGCTGGTATGGCATTATAATCTCATCAATGTCATTCAACAGGACATAGCGAGAACGCTCCATTGATCTGTAAATGCACTCATTAAGTGTGGTCAGTTGGCCATAGTAATGCAAATCCCCTCCATGCTCTGAGTGAAGCCAGCCACGAGATGGATTCAGATGCTTGTCAATGGGCCAAGGAACCATTTCCACAAAGCCCTCGTCGCTGTAACTCTGCAACAGGCGATTGAGCTCTGGACCACAGCTGGTGTTATAGATCACCACTCTGTTCACACCCAGCAACCTGGGACAAAATAAGGCAAATTAGTTCATCGTTGTCAGCAAACAAAACAGATTACTAAAAACAATTGTGGTTTATATAGCAAACAGTTGGTCATTTTTCTATCCTTAGTATAATATTTATACTGTGTTATACTATTTATACTGTATTAGCCTGTACCTGTCACAATAGCTTGCAGCTATGTGACTGATAAAATACACAGACAAAAAATAATATTATAATCATTAAGAGTAGTCTGTGGTGTTTCTCAAGTAGGAGGGACACTGTCTATTCCTAACTGGTTCTGAACAGCTGGAAATCCACAGTTTACAGGGCTAAAAATCCATTTTCCTACAGTGTCTGAAAAGACGTACAGCTCCTGTAGAATTTTAAACCGAGCAAGACACTGTCCAACAGTTGTGTCTGTTACTCCAGAAGCAACAGGAGTAACAGACACAACTGTGCAATGTGATACAATCCAGACACTGCATTGAAGAGGAGCCTTTGCAGAGCTTGTTAGGTTTCATTCTGTGTCAGGACCAGCTGCTGTTGCACATTTTTGACTTTGTAGCTTGTGGTGGTGTTGCAGTACTCACTTGTACATCTCCAGAGTCTGTGCAAACTGAAGCACATTGTTGTAGTCACCAAAGAGGTTAGAGATGCAGACTGTGAAGTCAAACTGCATGTTTTCTTCCTTCTGTCCAATTGTGTCTTTGTTTCTTATTGGGAGCCATTGATCAGTAGACTGACTCTCTTTGTCTGGTGTAGTCAAGAGAGTGACATGTGTCGCATTGCAGTTCTGAGGAATCTGACACATGACATCCGTAGTGACAAAGGGAAAACCAAAGTTATCTGGATGCTGTAAAATTGTTGCTGGAGTGGTTTTACTCAAATAACCAGTACAGCAGAAAAAGCAGTGAAGGGGTTGGATGGAGTCTCTCCTAAATATGCCAATGATGCGTATATCAAAATCCTTCACTCTTTGGTCCATGTAAGCTGACACCAGTAAGTGCTTGGTATTGTTAAGTGGCGTGATGGTCTGCTCGGATATCCTCATGGAGCAAGCACTTGGCGGCCCAGATGGTTTTGGGATTGAGTTGTATGTGCTGGGCGTTTTCATAGTGAAGACCAAAAAGAGGAAGAGTGCAGTGATGAAGACGAGAACCAACTTCTTTTTAAAATGTTTTAACAGCTCCATCCAGCCAGTGGAGGTGAAACCAGTTCCCAACCTGTACCAGAACACAGAATTGTGGTTAGTTTCAAAACTAGCAAAATTTGAACTCTGATGAAAAACCTCCAAAACTGCAGAAAAAATTGCAGGGAAATAAAGGTGGTTTAGAAGCTTTAAATCTTAAAAAAAAAAAAAAAATCTAGAACTACCAAATGTTCACATTACTTCAACCCAGTGTCTTCTTGCTGCGTAGTCTCAGATTACACAAACAAGGAACAACAATTAAAAATATCAATTTATTACAAAGGTTAGACCTAATGATGTTCTCTGGCCAGTGGCTTTTGCTTGGACCCTTTGAAGTATAGAAAAGAGTGTGCTGTCCTTCAGGGACTACTGTGATAAGCTGATAAAGACAATTAAGAGATAGGATAACTGGGGTGAGATCTAGCCTTAATCTGCCTTGGTAGATATTAATGAAGGACACTATCTATGGAAATTTTGGATAGTCATAGCTGGACATCCACAGATGTAATAGATACACTTAAGAGTTCCCATTATAGATATCACTCACTACACCATGGACAATGCCACACACAAAGAGGAAACCTAATTCTTATTGACATACTTTATTTCACTAGCTGGGCCAACATCCTCACTTTAAGTTTGACAGCATTTTAGTAGGTAAAAGTGAATGCTTTGACATGAATTGAGCTGCAGTTTGTGGAAGGCCTCAAAGGGGACTGGTGATGGCTCCCAGGTACTATATAGAAGTGAAGAAGGAGGGAGGGTGGGGCACGAAAACGAGAATGATCGGCTTGCAGAACTGGGGGAACCTATTTAGATGACAGCTGGAAGAAGCGTGTTTGGAGGTGTGGTCCTGCTCCTGAAATTCCAATACATAATCTCCAATGCTAAATCTGGAATACTAAATGGTTAAAGAACATTGTTATGCAATAACTGCAAGTTTTCCCTTGAACAGCTGCTACCAAGAAAAGAAGCCTACTCTGTGTAGCCTGAAAGGTGAAGAGCAAATAAAATCTTTTGTAAAATTTGCATCTGCTTGTTTTGTTTAATTGCTTTCTTCCTAATTGAAACTGAAGGAGAACCTTCCTTTGTTGCAAAGAGGATATCATCACTAGTAAATCACACAAGCTTTATAAGACTTCCATATTTTAGAAAAAAAGCAATATACTATTGAAGGTAATGAGAAATTGTATCTCTTACTGTCATATGGGTATTCCATATATTAAAACAAATATATACCCAAACCCACGGATGCCAAAAGATCTTTCCGTCCGTATGCAGTGCTGTGAGCCACTCCTCATTTCTTTATACTTTCCTGTCTTGTATTTTCTTTTTCTTATTTTTTGTTTTGTTCATGAGCAATAATTCACCAGGCTTTCAAAAAGGAAACCCTAAACATTTTCAGTGGGATATTTTCTTGGATTGTTTGTTAAATCCCTTAACACTGACCTGTCAATCATTTAAACGTGAAAAGGCATTTAAATCAAGAATGAGCCAGTGTTGTGTCTACACAGACAACTTAGCAAACAACCAATCATAAATTTTATGTTAAAGCACCTTGTTACATGCAGCCTGATTCAGCTGAATCTACACCAACAAGGTCATTCCTGAAGAAATATTAACCAAAACCTTGTCATATGTCAGCATGCTGTGCAGTGCATCCTTAACAATATGAGGAAACTGGACAAGTGGAGGGCAAAAGAAGAACTGGCAGGCCTTAAAAACAAAACAAAACAAAAAAAAACTATCTACAGCAGATGAACAGTATCTATTGAAAAACAAACAAACAAACAAACAAAAGAATCCAGCAAAGACCTGGGCCCTATTTCAGGAAGCCGGTTTAGAAAACTCAGAGTGAAAAACGATACTCAGGGTTGAGTAACCCCGAACTGTCCAACTCGGAATATTCGGTTTCAGAAAGGCTGATAACAATTAGTTCAGTCAACGCGGAGTTGCTTTAACCCCAAGTGAAGCGCGCGGACGAGGATACATAAAGCCCTGATAAGCGAAGCACAGATTAAGCGAGTCACCATGGAGACGGAGGGAAAATGTATTTTACAGCGCTTGAGGCCGAAATTCTGATGGCAGCATATGCCGATAACATGCAAATCCGCGGAAAAAAGTAACACAGCCACAGCTGCAAAAGAAAGGGAGCATGCATGGCAAAACATAGCCGACAGAGTCAATGCGTGAGTGTTAATTTAAACATTGATCTAGGGATTTCCACCCATTTAACACGTTATTTTATTATATGTTATTTTATTTGTTATTTTATACATTTTATTTTGTGATGTGATGTGAGCGCAGGTGCAACCCAACAGGCCCCAAACGTGCCTGGCAGCAAGTAAAAATGAAATATAAAAATATAGTCCAAACAGGTGAGGTGTAATTGTATTATGAGCCATAGTGCTTGGTCTGTTTGTCCGATGTAAATCAATTGCAGTTAGAGGCTACATTAATTTTCTTTCTGTAAGCACTTATTGAAATTATCTGAGCACATTACAAGTACATATTTGCTTACTCTGTATGCTCAAATGTGACCCGTTATAGCCAACAGAAAAAAAGCGGAGGCCCGAAAAACAGGTGGGGGTCCTCCACCACCACCACTCACAGAGGCTGAGCAGTTGGCCCTCAGCCAAAACAGTGGGCGCCCTGTGGCTGAAGGCATCTCTGCGGGGACATCCTCTGAGTCAATAACCCCGCAAGACACAAGTGCCTACATAGGGGGTAAATTCAAAATAATACATGATGTGCATACATCCTTTCTTCACAGTCACCTTTGCAGTGCTACTCATTCATTTGATAAACTCTTTACCATAATGGATTATTTTGTAGTGAAGTTATTTTCCTACTGATTTTGCCTTCCCTCAGTCTTGGTTGTCTTTGAGAGCATAATGACAATGAAGTGTAAGGTGATAGGTATGTTTGTTAATTGCCATTTGGTCCCTTGTAAGTTATAAGTGACCTGTATAAACCTCATATTCTATCAGTTGATGGTGGTGGTGTACTGCATCTGGTGCAGCCTCCTGTTGAGCCAGACCAACATGCAGTTGTGAGTAATACTCCACAGATTATATGAGTTTACAGTAGAACAGCAATGTTGTTTATTTCTTTACTACAGGAAAATAATGAAGAAACATTGACAGCTGTTACAGAGGAGGAAGCAACAGAGACACTTTATGAGGTTTACATCTTTTAATACTTTGTGTACAGGAAACACAGGCGACCAATAAAGCCAGTTGAACAAAAATCTGTTTATTCTTCTTTCAACATGTTGAGGTGATGGGTCAAAAGAAATGATTGTGACATATGGTGTCTCTGACTGCGCTTCCATCTTGTATGTCCGTGGGAGGGTCAGGATGTTCATGGTTTGGATCACTGCTGATGTTTGGTTCAGAAGGACAGTGTTCTCCTCTAATTGTGGCAATGTTGTGAAGAATCACACATGCCACAATAATGTCACATGCCCTTTCTGGGGTGACCCTGAGTCTTTGCAGGCACTGGAACCGGGCCTTAAGCATTCCGATAGTCATTTCAATTCTGGCTCTTGTCCTGCAATTAGCCAGATTATTTCGCTGCTGTGGGCCCGGTTCAGGGTCAGGGTAAGGGGTAAGCAAATAGGGTAAACATGGATACCCCCTATCACCAAGCAAGTAGCCAGTGAACTCTCCTAAGACAGAAGGATACACTTCAGTTCAAATGTCCCTGAAGCAATTGGTCTTTATATATTTTAAAGTATTCTCAACTCACCATGTCCAAATTTTGTGCTCAGTGTACATTCACGGAATATTTGTGAGTCATGGACAGAGCCTGGCCACTTGGCTTCCACATTTGTGATAATGTTGGCAGCATCATATATGATCTTCACAGTGCAGAGAACACAAATTAGCATCCATTACTATAATGAAATAATTTGTTAGTTTGAAATGCTACAGGGAACTATGTACCTGTACATTAATGCTGTGGAAAGACTTCCTGTTCACATAGTCTCCTTCATTTACTGAAGGAGCAATGATTGGAATGTGAGTGCCATCTGTACAGCCAATCACGCCTGGGAACCCTGAAAATAAATGTAAAATTTAAGTAGTAGTTCAAGTATCACCACATCATGAATTAAGTTTTGTTCATCCTGTACCTGCAATTTTGTGGCATCCCTCTTTGATAAATCTTGTGGGTCTATGACCGGGGAACACCACAAACGAGTACAGGAGACGTTTCAGTGCAACTGTAACATTCCTGACTGCCCGACAGACGGATAGCCTTGGAAACAGTGCTCAGCGTCACCAATATTATACAGAAAGCTCCCGTTTGCAAAAAACCGAAGTGCAATACAAATAATATGTAATGATGAGAGCATGTCCGCGATGTGTCACATGCGTAATATATGGCCTGAGGATGTTATCCAAATAACTTATAGATTGTGCTGAGAAACGGTAACGTTCACACAGAAACTCATCAGGAAATGATAAAATGTCCAAACGCGATCTGATCACTCTCTCGCCGGCGGAGAGCTCTGCGGAGAATTTGGGCTTCACGATCTACTGGCTCTTCACGGAACGGGCACGCCATGTCCGACACTTCCTACTGTCAGGTTTCCGACAAAGGGGCGGAGTCAGTCAGGGTTAGTTGTAGTAAACCTGCTAGGGGGCAGGTTAGCTTCACGGGTGTGTCGTCATAGTGACTCACTCAGGCTCAGCTGAACTCGCTTTGTGAAACCGAAAAACCCAGCAGTTTTCGTTAACTCAGGGTATACTTACTCAGTTTTTCCACTAAACCGGCTTCCTGAAACAGGGCCCAGGGCCCTATTTCAGGAAGCCGGTTTGCTTGTGAAGCTCGCACACAAGAATTTCACTCACATGTGCTGTACCAATGTACCTGCACATGTGATGTGACAATAAAAGTGAATTGATTTGATTTGATTTGATAGAGCAAACTCTGAGTAAGTATACCCTGAGTTAACGAAAACTCTGGGTTTTCGGTTTCACAAAGCGAGTTTAGATTAATTCTGAGTGAGTTACTATGACGACACACTCC